GCCGTCCAACGCCGCGAGCCCATTGCCAGGAGCGATTCCGCTGGAGGAGATTTCGGTGGGCGATGTCTTTGAGGGGACGGTCACCAATGTCACCACCTCTGGGGTCTTTGTTGACATTGGTTTGGTCGCCCGGCCGCAGCGGGTATTTTGCGCTTCTGGAACTGGTCAATGCTCGAGTTGGAGCAGATAATGATTCGTTGCTGTATCTTGGGAATTTCTTTGAAATGTCAAAGGAGACGAGCCTCCTGGCAGGTGAGAGATGCGCGGCTAAACGTGCCAGCCTCCATCGGAAAGAGATTCCGGCGCGGTGACGTCGTGGATGATTGCACCGTGGAGAACATCGACCTGGACCGGGAGCGCTGCGCCATCTCTCTTCCAGACCCTCAGGCTCAGCTTGAGTAGCAATACAAGCTAAAGCGAAACTCCCTGCCAGGCAACTATGATTCTGCCTATATTTCCGGGTGCTGTTGGAGTTTCTGGGAAGCGTAGTATCACTTGAGCCCTGTTTTGGGCTTCGCCCGGCAGGCGGCGGTGCGCCACCTGCCGCCCAAGGAGCGGGGAGGGGGCAGTGGGGGCACTGCCCCCGCGCGGGAGCGGGCGCCCCCGCTCCCCTCGCGCCCGGCGCGGTCGCCGATCCCGCCGCGGGAGAGGGAGCCACCGGCACGGGAAAGGCGGGGGGCGTCGCCCAAGCCGGCGCCGCGGGCCAAGGCGGGGAGGGCTGGACGCAAAAACCAACATGCTGACTTGAAATGCGGTTCCTGATGAGCAACAATCTCCGAAGTGAGTTCAACTTGTTTGGTGTGGATAATGTTGACCCCATATCAATCAACCACGGTTTATTCATAGGGGGTCTCTTCCAAAAGTGGTGATTCCCCACTAAAGCCAGAATCGGACATCCCCATATTCATATGGGGTCGACATGATGGGCGTGGCCATGGGTCATAACCTATGCCTCCATTTTGGGGCGGAGGAACACCCATGTACCACCGATTTTGATGTTAATCAGGGGTTTCCTGGGTTTTGACCCACAGCCGGTACCAAAATGGAACTGTGGAAACATGGGTACCAAAACCTGCGGTTTGCCCCTCCTGCTTCATTTTGAGCCACATATGGGGTCATTTTTTTTTTTTTCGAGGCCATTCCCCTTCTTGGGATTGAAGGGAAACTCACCCACCCGCGAGGCCGAGGCCAAGGCAGCGCCCAAGGCCCGGCCCGAGGCTCGGCCCAAGGCCCGGGCCGAGTCGCAGCCACGAGGCGAGGTTGGGGCGCGTTCCTTGGTTCGGAGCGAAAGTTCACCCCATATGGCTGTGGGTCAAAACTCAGGAACCCCCTGGTGAACATCAAAATAGGTGGTACGCAGGTGTTCATCCGCCAAAATGGAGGCATAGGTTATGACCCATGGCCATATTGCCGAAATGAAACAAACCAAAACAGCTTGCAGCTCGGGCTTCAGATTTCCAGTCGGAAACGAACGGAAGGGTCGCGGAAGGGTGGCGGAAGGGCAGGTTTCAGGAGGAGTCAACCCGACTTTGATTGTTTAAGCGGGGTGTCCGATTGTCTGGGTGAAATGTGGGGATTCAGACAACTTTTAGAGGCACCCCCCTATTGATAGACTGGGGTTGACTACAGTAATTGGGGTCAACATCAATGTCAAGCAGTTTCAGTGGAACCCAATAAACTGCAACACAAACTAGGGGTTGATCAATATTCCCTGGAATGCTCTCTCTTAAATGACAAACTATAACTTCCCCATTCAGTGGGACATGTCATCCTTGTGATTTTCCCTGGGCCATCCCATGTATTTCGAGGACCTTTAGATCAACCCCCCAAATCCGGCACATGGTTCACTGGCCTGGGCTCAGTGGGCCCAGTCCAAATTGGGTGCCCGACAGCTTTGTTTTGCCCTAAGGCCTTGCAGGTCAAAGGGGGACCCCCAGGTTGTGCTGCTTTTCCTTTTGGTCTTACCTGGAAAGGACACCCTCAAGAAGCACAAACCGATTGTCGCAATCTACTCCATACTGTGGATGGACCAAATCCTGCACCACCTAAGAAACCCTGGAATGATTTGATTCACCATGGTTTCAAAGTGGTGCAGGAATTCATCCATCCACAGTAACTAGTTTGCTTTTGCTTGCCAAACCAACACGCCCGCAAGGTGGAAGCGGAGGAGGTGGAGGAGGCGGAGGCGGAGGAGGCGGAGGCAAAGGAAGAGTTGTGCCCATCGAGAGGCTTCGGGTGGGGTCTGCAGTTGATGGTATTGTCACGAACAAGAACCAGCGACTTGACAGCATTGAATTAGAATCCTTGCAGACCGTCCCGCGGCGAATGAAACAGCAGGCTTCGGAATCCATGGAGCATTCAAGTTTTGCCTTGCAATATACACAGTGGGGCAAACGGTGCTTTGCATTTCCGGCTTGCGTTTCCTTCGGCCAGTGGAGCCTGGAGCATCTGAGGTTTGGTGTCTTCGTGAGCATCGGCTGCAGCAAGGATGCCAGGCTCAATGTCTCGAAGGAGCTCGCCAAGGACTCGCTGGTCGAACTCGACGTTTTTCACGTGTCGGACTCGCTGGTTGGAAGGGAGCCGTTGCGGAGCTATCCAAATTTGAAGCCGAAACACGGAGCTAAGGAACCAGGAGATCTGCAAGGACATGGGTTTTGTGATATATGCTTTGCTTCGCTTTTGGGGGGGGGGGCACTCCGGAGGTGTTTGTTACAGGGATGCTTGCGAGATTGATCACTTCTTGCTGCCCAGCCACCGTCTCTACAGGACTTCCGCAAGGGCGATGAGATCTATGGCATGACCATAGAGAGCGTCGCAACTCGGAGCTCATGTCCCTTATTCATACTGTCGATGGACAAACTCCATTTCGAACCTCCAAAGAAACTTTGGAATGATTCGATTCCCTTGTAAAACTACCAACAAGCAAAACTTCAACAATTCTTTCAAAGTGGTGCAGGATTTTGTCCATCCACAATAGTTTTTTTTGGTGGTGTATGGTTTCGGGAGAGGGGTGTGAACAACAATTTCTTGGGGACTTACTTGTCGGAGGGGAGATGGCCAGGGGTGAGAGCACCCACGAACTCAGCGCCGAACATTGGCAGCCCGGGATGGATTGGATGGATCAATGTGGTTTTGCGTTGGATGAACATCCATTTGCTACCTATTTTGACGTTCACCAGGGTTTTGACCCACAGCCATGTCAGGCGCTGTTGAATGCATCGCCAGCCGTATGAAGAGCCGAAATCAGGCTTGCAGCTGGCTGGAGGACAGCCTGGCAGGCTGTTGGTGAAGAGTGCGCTTTGCATGGCCTATACCTTGGTGTCGCTAGTTTTTGGAACCGATCACTTGTGACTAGACGCGCGTTTTTCGCTTCTTGTCGAAGCTTGTGTGCGTTGGAATTTGCTTGGCTGGGTCACCTCAGTGTTTTTTGGCTTGGGTCACCCTCTTCTATTAGAACTTTCCTTCAGGTCCTGCCGGCTTTTGTCATCTAGTGTGTGGAAGGGAGTTGCGTACCACGTACCCATAATCCGCATGAATTTGCATACGCTTGGGGGCACTTTCTGGGCCGGTGCCAGTTTTGTTCCTTGGGGGGTCCCACGCTTTTGCCCAGCGAGAATTGTCAGGTCACCCTCAAAGTGGTGGTGAGACTTGGTTTGGAGATGTGAACCCCGGTTCTAGTTGGGTAAACGGGCCAACAATTAGGAAGCTGATTTTCTGGGACTCCCCTATGTAAAGTTTGAAGGCTTCGGATGGAAACCAACGAGTCGGGCTGAGGACTTGGAGAAGAACCAGATCTCCTGCAGCCTTGAGGACCCCGAGCTCTTCGTGGAGGAGGAGCGACACGCTTCGCGCTCTGCCAAGCCTCCATCTACATGGGCCTTGGCCATGCGAATTGGATACGCGAGGGGCAAAACAACCTTTTTCACTTTGAAACCATGGTTGAAGCCATGATTTGTGTTGCTAGTTTTACGGTTGGGGAAGCGAATCATTCCCCATCTGACCAGTGGCGTGATCTCTGCATATTTTAGTGGAGAATCGAATCATTCCATTGGGTGGCCCTTTTGGGGTTGCCCCTTTGGCAACCATGGTTTGGTCGTTTCCAGGCAGAAGGGCAGAAACACGTGAGGCCGAGCCCGGAAAATTTATGCTTTTCATACCTTGGGTCGCACAAAACGCGACCTCGGGTGCCAGCCATGGGTTGGTTGGAATGGTGGGCAGTCAGCGGATTCCTGATTGAACCGTGGCCAGTAGGAGCTTTTGCTCGTTCGAGGCGTCTGAGATTATCAGAAGGTCTGTAGTTCTGTTTCAAGTCAGAAAGGCAAACCGAAACCATCTCTCTCTCTCTCTCTCTCTCTTTCTCATAGACAAGAGGTATTGCTGAAGAAGGGGTGGTGTCTTTTGGCTCGAGAAAACCATGGGTTATGTTTCTTAGTCTAGGAATCTGGAGCCCAAACTCTGGACATGAGTCAAATGTCCTGGGCATGAAAAGGAACTAGCACAAGTGATGTCGGCCGCCGCGCGCGGTGTGCTTCTTTGCGCAGATACATCTTGTACTTTTTATTGCGCCAAAAAGTCAGCACAGCAAAGTCAGGCCTCTTCAGATTTTGAGCATTTTGAGCGTTTTGAGCATTTTAGTTTGGCTAGTTTGGAGCCATTCCCTTGCTGGTGCTCAGTAGGGAATGAGAAATGGAATGAACCCAGGGCTCCCCTCATTCTCATTCCCTGCATCTCTCGCACCGATCGCAAGTTCCCCCGGCAACAAGCGTCTTTTGTCCCAGGAACCGGCACCCCCGCCGCGGCGGAGGCGTTGAGCCGATAGGCCGGCGAAGAAGCTGGATCACCTTGGACTGGTTGGGAAAGGGAGATCAAATGGAACCAACCACGTTAGACCGATGCCTATTTCAGAAACACTTGACCATATTTTTTATTCATGGTTCTCTGCAGGGAATGAGGGAATGCTCTCTATGAACCATCAGTGGTGGTTTCCTCTTAGTTCATTCACACGGCCCCTCTCGATGGCCATATCAAAGACCTTTTGTGAGGTCCAGTTTCATCACAGAAGGTATGGTAGTCTTGTGCGTTGACAGGTCTCCATAGGCCCTAAAGTGCAACATCCGTGCAACATCCTCAAGCCAACTTTGGGCAACCCCGCTCTTGGCTTTTCCTTTGGCCGATTCTGGTGCCTCGGTTTCAACCAAAGTTCTAGGGGTTGATTCCTTTCCCATTCTTTTCAACCATCGTTCTTTCCAAAACTTGTTTTCCCGTTTTCCCTGGGTTTCCGGAGGTTTCTAGAAAGATCCGGATCCCTGGGTTAAGAATGGAAATGGACATTGCCCCTAGAAAAGTTGCGCCCAACTCAGCGCGCTTTTCGCGACGCCGTCCACGAAAGCCGCGGCGGTGAGGTGTCTCACGGTCGCGTAGAAGCCCGGCGCCCGAAACTCGCCCGACGGCTCCGCGGCAGGCGCTCGAAGCACTGGGCATGCAGATCCCGTTTTGGGGATACCCGACCCACCAAGTGACATGGCTGTAGGTCAAAACCAATGGGATCCCATTTTGGGGTAGGTGAATTCACCACCCATTTTAGAACCTATTTGAGTGGGGATTGAGATGTTCACTAGGGAATTTGGATTTCGACCCATGGCCACATGGAACCTAACAGGAGGCCCCTTTTAAAAGGGAAATGGTCCAAAACAGGACCCTTGTCAGCTTTCATGTTAATTGGACGGAGGGTATATTTCGGCGTTTTTTGTGTGTTGGTGATATTGGGGGGGGGCAATAGAACTAGGCCCTTTGCGACCTCCTTTCGCGTGGGGCCCCGGCTTGGGCCAAACAAATCTCTGTGACACTTGCCCCTTAAAGGGGGAGCGGTGGCCCATGCCTGAAATCTCAGGTAACCCTTAGTGGGTGGTTTGGATTGGAGGTTTGACCCCGGGTTGTTGTGGAAGGGTAAATGGGAAGCTGTCCGAAACCCAATCCAAATCACCAATCAGATGGAAGCTGATGATGTTTGTAGATGGCTGTAATGCCTGGCTCGGTTATCTGACTTCCCTCAAAAGGCCAAGAGCCGTGTGCCGTGCCTCGAATCGAGTGGCTCTTTTTGCGAGGTGTGTCTTTTGGGAACTCCTCCAAATGGCGATTGAAAAACCCAGCAAAGAGGGAGACCAACTCCAAAAAAGCGACCAGCCCGGAGTTTGGGGGTGGTCTCGTACGCATGCTGTTTCCTTCGCCTCGCCACAGGTGTAGCTCATCACCTGAGACTGGCTGCAGCTGGGAATGTGGCCATGGGTCAAACTCCAAATCGGTTAGCCCCCAGTGAACATCAACCAATCCAACCACTAAAATCGGTTCTAAAATGGGTGGTGAATTTACCTACCATTTTCCAAAATGGGATCCCATTGGTTTTGACCCACAGCCATGTGTCAGAAAATGGCAATGTGACCGGGGTCCCAATTGGCATCAGCTAATAGGGGGACGCCAAAAAGGAGAATGTTCCTTTCGGTTTCCCTAACAGGACCGATAGGTGAAAAGGGTACCCTGAAGAGACGAAGAAGCAGAAGAAGAAGACGAAGAAGAAGAGCAAGAGCAGAAAACCACATCATTTCTTTTCAATGACTATTGCCTTAGGGTGTTTCCCGTGTTGGAAGGAAAAAACATGGGCTTATAGGCTTCGGCTGAAGTCAACCGGGTCCTCTGATCAATTCACATCGCCTGGGCCGCGGCTCCGGCCAGCTTTGGTTTCATGCCATGGTTTCCATCCCTTAGGCTAGGGATGGTCATCAACCCCTCAGAGGCTTTAGACACAGGTGGTATAGGTACAAACACATTTTTCTAATATTGGAGAACACGGGACGAAATTTTTGGTCCACGGCAATTTGTACGTTCCCTCCTTTGCAGCGTGTCGTGTGGGCCGACAGGATGCACCAACCGTTTGAACGTTTAAAGTAATGCACCCGCGAAGGAAAAGGCCTCCGCGGACGTCTGCTCGGCTTGTCAGTTGCCAGAGATGCCTTGAAGTTGCTTCTTTTGAATCGCCGCAGCATGCCAAGAAGCTCTATTTTGCGATGCCCTGATTTGTCCCAGTTCGCCCGAAGGCGCCATATCCCGGCCTTCCTTTCAAAATCAAACAATGCAATTTGGTGTGTGCCGGGAGGAAGCGTAGAATGGCATGTTCGCCTTGCAGTCCGTCAATTTGACTCCCATCCCGCCCACAAACCCAGCCATCCCCAAAGAATCCCGGTGAGGGCGCAGCGTAAACCACACGTTCTGCCTCTCTTCAGGCAAACGGAATTCGTGAGATGCAACACGGCTTTCGGCTTTGGGTTTTCTGGGCCTTTCCTGCCAATCTCCCCCAGCCCCCCAGCTGCTTTCGCCCGGTTTCGGCAGCTGATTTCGCGGTGCAGAAAAGTGGGATATGGGTAACCGCAGGTTTTTGGCCCATGCTTCCATTCAGGGCAAGCCATTTTGGGACCTACTTTTGACCCACAGCCACATGGGTATGGGTCAAAATTAACCCCAAAAAAACCGCGGGTTTTAGTCCATGTGTCCATTTGCCAGAGTTCCATTTTGGGTAGACCCACAGCCATATGACTCATATGACAAGTTGGCCTTCTCCAGTTGTCTCCGACCCGCAGCTAGTGCCAGGCGCGGCGCAGGCCCTTCCTGGTGCTCACCTCTGGAGAGCTGCCGCAGCTCCTGGTGGAGGCGGGGAGAGGGGGGGACGGGGGGGAGGGGCGGATCCTTGTTTGGGGGGAACGTACACACAGGAAGCCGAAGAAGGGGCGAGAAACAAAGACTGGCAGGGGCAAAATCCGTGTCACAACTGGTACCCTTCTGCCTGAAGATTGGAGGTATGGTGGTCAGTGGGCGCCGGGTTGCGTATGGCTTGCTTTAATCAATTAATCAACTGGAGAAGCACTTGTACTTCTCAGCATGAAATGGTGGGAGACGTTTTGGCTGTGGCATTCTCATTATCCTTGGAGTGCCCCAAATATCGGCGGTGCTTTCAAGTTGTCAACATCTACTTTAACAAACCAGAGACCTGGGAAGGCCGGATGCCGGCATTTCTGGGCTCCAACAACAACAACAACAACAACAACAACAACAACAACAACAACAACAACAACAACAACAACAACAACAACAACAACAACAACAACAACAACAACAACAACAACAACAACAACAACAACAACAACAACAACAACAACAACAACAACAACAACAACAACAACAACAACAACAACAACAACAACAACAACAACAACAACAACAACAACAACAACAACAAACAACCACAACCACAACCACAAACAAACAACCACAACCACAACCACAACCACAACCACAACAACACAACAACAACAACAACAACAACAACAACAACAACAACAACAACAACAACAACAACAACAACAACAACAACAACAACAACAACAACAACAACAACAACAACAACAACAACAACAACAACAACAACAACAACAACAACAACAACAACAACAACAACAACAACAACAACAACAACAACAACAACAACAACAACAACAACAACAACAACAACAACAACAACAACAACAACAACAACAACAACAACAACAACAACAACAACAACAACAACAACACAGCAACAGCAACAAACAGCAACAGCAACAGCAACAGCAACAGCAACAGCAACAGCAACAGCAACAGCAACAGCAACAGCAACAGCAACAGCAACAACAACAACAACAACAACAACAACAACAGCATTAGCAGCAGCAACAACAACAACAAAACAACAAAACAACAAAACAACAAAACAACAAAACAACAAAACAACAAAACAACAAAACAACAAAACAACAAAACAACAAAACAACAAACCAACAAACCAACAAACCAACAAAACAACAAAACAACAAAACAACAAAACAACAAACCAACAAAACAACAAAACAACACAACAACACAACAACACAACAACAAAACAACAAAACAACAAACCAACAAAACAACAAAACAACACAACAGCAAAACACCACCACCACCAACAACAGCAACAACCACAACAACCACAACCACAACCACAACCACAACCACAACCACAACCACAACCACAATCACCACGCCGACGACGACGACGACGACCACGACAACAACAACGACAACGACAACGACAACGACAACCACAACCACAACAACAACAACAACAACAACAACAACAACAACAACAACAACAACAACAACAACAACAACAACAACAACAACAACAGCGCCACGAGCCGACATAACGCCGCGGCCATCAAGAGGCAAGCTAGCAAATCTTCAAAAAGCACCGCACATGGCAGTGTTTTTGGCTGTTCCACTCATCAAACGTTGCTTTTTGTCAACCCTCGATTTTTCGCGACAACTCGTTCAGCAAAAAAAGGGTAGTTTCCTGGAAAAGGGTGTTTTCAACAAAGCACATGCGTTTCGCCACACTTTGTGACAAACAATAGGATTGCTGTACCCCACCCAAAGGCGTTTCCGTGTCCCACCCACAGCACGGCGCATCACATGTTTTCATCCATCTTGCTCCTCGGCTGCTCATAGTGTGTCCCAAGGCTTTCCTTAGTCAAAAATCTCGAAAGGGGTTCACTCCGAACCTATGCGCTTGAACGGGTGTTCTTACCATTTGGCTGGCATGGATACAGTGCTGAGCGAGTGCACTTGAACGGGTGTTCTTACCATTTGGCTGCCATGGATACAGTGCTGAGCGAGTGCACTTGAACGGGCGTTCTTACCATTTGGCTGCCATGGATACAGTGCTGAGCGAGTGCACTTGAACGGGTGTTCTTACCATTTGGCTGGCATGGATAGTGTGCTGAGCGAGTGCGCTTGCACGGGTGTTCTTACCATTTGGCTGGCATGGATACAGTGCTGAGCGAGTGCACTTGAACGGGTGTTATTACCATTTGGCTGGCATGGATACAGTGCTGAGCGAGTGCGCTTGAACGGGTGTTCTTACCATTTGGCTGGCATG